CAAATACCGCCACTCGACACTAAATTTTACCGGACGACGGTAACGCAGTGGTTAGCGCCTTAGTTTACGAACGTACGGGACCCGGGTTCGAATCCCGGCACCCCGTAGTCTTATTTTTCTTCCACGCATCTAAATTAGAAGAAAAATAGCAGTACCCCAGCAGCGACATCTTCAGCCAACAGCTACAATCATCAGAGACAACACTTACACCTCACTCCAAATGGTGGGACACCATTTCTTCCGATTTTCTTCCGATGGTTGTCAGGCACAGTATTTTCTGAGGACACATCGCACCATTCGGAAACGAGAATTTCCCGAAATTTTCTTGTCTGTATTTTTTTTGTTTGTGGCTGTTTGGTACACAATATGAGCATTTATTATACTTGTTCCTAAGAGTAAATGTAGTGCTAATTTCGGATACCACTTGATACTTTTCCGTATCGTTAATGGCATATGAGACCATCTGGTCACTTCTGTCGATACCAGTTTTTCCATTATTCTATTTTTTTTATTTATTTTCACGCTGTCTACTGAACATTTTGAGGATGAAAAAATCACTGATGTGCGTCTCACAAGAAATATGCTTCTCGACTAAATGAAAGATCTGGGATATCTGTCATGAGATCCCTCGGAATACTTTAGCCGAAAAGCGTACCAACGGTCAGATTTGGGTCCCGCGGGAGACTTAGCCGAATTACGCTGGGCGACCAACGTGTTAAATCTTTTACAGTGGAAGATTTTGTGATATTCTCAAATTTGCAGTCGCGTCGTTGCTCTATTCGGTCAGCGATATCATCGAAGGATTAAGTCAATTATTCATCTTCTCTTCACGTAGCAATCGCTTTTTCAGAAATTCCTGACGGAAGCTGTAGTCGACATCCGGTCTATTCGAAGACGGGAACACGTCAAGTTGCACGGCAGTCGCGCTTAGTGTTACATATTCAACGGTTCAGGCTTTAAACTTCGTTGTACCGTGCTCTGTAGCAGGAAATTCTTGCTGAAACGTGGTTCGCTGTTACGATAGTACCGCATGTTTCGTTCGAAGACTAACTTTCCTAGGAAAGTCAATACTTTCTGAAAAATAAGACAAACGTTTGGAAGTAGAACGAATGAAATATAATAAAATAATAATAGGTTTGGAAAAGATTCCAAGATTGTAGAATTCCCTTGTTCCAAAAAGTCGAAAGATTCTCGGTTTCTCAGGATCTGCGATCGTAAAACTCTGAAATCTCAGAAATTCCACGATCTCGAAAATCTCAAATATTCAAATCTCTGTTCTCTCAAGTTTCTGAATTTTCGAAATTTCACGGTTTCGTGATTTCAAAAATTCTGTAGAGAGAATTCCTGTAGATCGGATAAACGCCGGTGTACGCGTTCCATCTTGCAATTTTCTCGTCCTAAAGTCGACGAAAAGCCGAAAGCCTAATTAGCAAGTTGAGAGATCCGGAGATCACTTTCGTTGTAACGCGACCATGGCAATGACATAAATGGCCGTAGCAAAGGCATAAACCCAAGGGAGCCTGTCCAACCATAATTTAGGATTGCGGTTCTAGCAAATTAAGGACACGTGCATCGTCCTTGGCCCGGGCACCTGCAGAATTTCCGTGTCATGCGCAAAATCCGGCAAATTGCTCGAGATTCGGCTTTTCACGTCGCCGAATGAGTGTTCAACCTGAGGAAGTATTTCTACGAGCAAGATTCTTCCTATAATTTTCCCTCGCAGCGGACCCATTCCACGTGGTACACGCAGTCATCCCGTAAACCGTATTTATTATGCAAAAAAATATTTCCAGTGAAAAAGCTTACTTTGATGAAATAAGACGAAATAAGAAAGAATATCGTTTATTTCCAACTGCTGCGTGCTTTCTGTGCCGCGCCATAAATTACTGCTCAATGTATGCAAAGGTGTTTAAGCTTGCAACGAGGTGTGCACCTTCTCAATGGAAATCAGCGGCTACGTTAACGACTTGGAAAAGAAGTTTGCCCGCGAACGAAACTTTCTTAAGGTTTCTATTTCTCGCCGAGGCGTGTCTCGGTTACTTTGATTAAATTTCTTGCGCCCTTCTGATCGTTACATCGATGCTGCTCGTGCTTCCATCCTCGCGGCTTCTCGTTTCAACCGAAAGAATTTTCCCAGTACAAAGAGCTTCTTATTTGTATCTCGTTCATCTTTCGAGTGATTCATCTCTATGAGCTCTGTAGTGGAGAACAAATTTGCAATTATTTTTCATCCCTTCTTTGCTAATTAATGGACAGACATTAGGCAGCGAAGGGAAATAATTGCGAATCGAGTTGCTTTTATGGCTGAAAATAAACCACCATGCTACTACTATGACTACTGGCATGGTAGGCTATTATCGATGGTAGTTTCAATAAATCGACGATTCACCTTCTCGTTCTCAAACGATATTTAACGTTGAAGTGATTACTCGAGGAAAAACTGTGCAACTTTTCTTTTGTAATTGACCTGGAGACAGCTGTTACGAAGAGAATAGAATTTAGTGAAAAGATCGTAGACATATTATCGTGACCTTGAGTATCAATTTTCTTTTCGATTACAAGGTTTAGAAACAAAAGAGCTGTAAGTATAATAGATTTCTATTGCTGTTTCTTGTAGCCTTCAGATAGAGCCACACGCCAAGGTTAACTTTTTGATAATGTCCTTTGTTATAAATATATGAACGCGTTTCCTATCATATCTTCTTCTTCTTATCGTACTGTATAACACTGTAAGAGTGAGAATTTGGATCAGCATACGCTATACCTATACTTATTTCAGTACATTTTTCTATTACAAATTGGTCCACTTCGTTCGTCTATCAGTCGACCTCAACATTTAGCTACCGAACGCGGTTCAGTGATAAGGCGGAGATAAAATGTCTGTGTGATGTTCGACGAATATTCGTGAGATTATTACTTCTCCGATAGGTAGCCGGAATGCTTCGATTAACGCGAATATATTCGCGTGTAACTGCGATCGATGTTCGCTGCCAGATAGCAATTTTTATTTATTCGCCTGTTCGTTCGCGCCTTCCTTTGATTTATTTCTTTCATTCGTTTATTCGCTCGTTCTCTTTTTCTATATCGTACGTGTATATTGTACGTGTTCCATGTTTCGATTGAAAGTACTAAAACGTCTAGATGGTGCCAAATAGTTTAACGAATTGAATAAAACGTTATACATTTATCGGAAGGTTTTGTCTTCTTTTATTTGGTATTTTACATTATTTATGGGTGAGGGTGAAGTATATTGTTTATTACGAATTACAAATAA